TTTTAATCCTTTATAATTTTAATTATTTAATTGCTCCTTCCTCTCTTCATTGGAATGTTGTGAAATTTCTGATAGTTAGATAATAAACCGTTTAATTGTAATTTGTCTTTTTAAATTATTTTGAGTTGATATTAAAATTTGGAAAAGGGGGGATACCTAAATCGGTAAAATACGCGAATTTCTTCCTACAACTTCGGTTGTTGTTCGGGGTACAGTTAAGGTTTTAACGAAGTTCGAGCAAATACGTAATTAGCAAAAAAAAGTTGAAATAAAGTGATTAAACAAAAATTATTACAAATATTGTAAATAACAAATACATATATAGAGATATTTTTTGAAAGGGGAAATGGTCTTCACAATTTGAAATGGATCGAACACAGTGCTCAAATGCTCGTGTAAACGCGCGCCATCTATCGTAGGATAAATGTACTTCACGGGAGTGTATTAAAAAACTTTCCAAAGTTTCATGGCAATCGTACTATGCCACAAACTTTCGCTGGAGTATATTAAACAGCTTCTCAAAGTTTCACGGCAATCGGATAAACGGTGTGGTAATGCATGAAGGACACACACACACACACACACACACACATACATTCATTTTTATATATATAGATGAATTGCAAAAAGGCAAATGAAAAGCAACAGAAAACTAAAAAAATGACTAGAATCACAATGGAACTGATAAAAGAGACTGTTGAGAAATATGAAGGTGGCATGCGTGTTCGAGATTTTAATTAACTGTTGCATATCGTATTCCGAGAACGACGATATCGACAATCGTGAAAAATAAAAACATTATTGAATCTGCTAATGTTGCAAAAGGGGTTAATCAATTTCTAAACTATATCGAGGACATTAGATCATGTTGAGAAATTGCTTTTGCTTTGGATAACTGAAAAACAATGTGCTGGAGACAGCATATCAGAAGCAATTATTTGCGAGAAAGCTAAAAAACATACGTGCTAATCTCATGAAAAACCAAGCAGTAACTAGCCAGGAAAGCGAGGTGTTTAAAGCCAACCATTTTTTTTTTACATGAGAACGAATTTATCATTTTTACATTACTTCTTATGGGAAAGGTTGGTTTGGTATATGTCCAATTCGGTATAAGTCCAAACATCAGGAATTAAGGTCGTATACTGAGGTTCCACTGTATTTTAATCATACAATTCTAAATGTTCATCTATGAAATTTTCTCTTGTGCAAAAATTCTTACTTTGCTTTATATTACAGTCGACCCCCCCATAACACTGTTGATAATTCCGTTTTATATGAATTCCATGTTGTACGAGTCACTTAGATTTTACAAATATGTGTGCCAGGTTGTGAATGGCTCCTTCTTTGTACTCTACTCCTTTGTTCTTTTGTTTTCCGAGTTTACAGAACTTTCTCACCCAACTCTTTCCTGGAAAGTGTAGGTGATTAACAATAGAAAAAATGAACCCTGAGGGCAAACCCTCATTGTCGAGACACTTTTTGGCTAAACATCAAAGAAGAGAGGTTCTGGGGAAGACTCCAAGTTGTTTAAGGCATTGGCTGGAGCTACGGAGTGCGGTCTCAAGATAAGAGGCCTACAAGAAGGGAAAAGACTCTAGAGTGGGAAAGATTCCTCAGAAGAGATCCCATTTTCTTTTTGAGAAATATGCAGAGCGGTATAATTGTAAGAACATCAGGATTGGAATCAAGCCATATCACCAAGAGATATAAAGAATTGGGTACCCACTTTCCTAAACTCTTCTATATCCTCATTCCTGCTCATCCTATTTTCCTAATTTAGTTTTAAGTAAATTAAGGTTCTATAGTTTTTAGAAAATTCGGTACACGATAGAGATATTCAAATGTACTGTACCCCTTATACTAGTTTTTTCAAATCGTTAATTGTAAAGTTTTATTGTGTGTGGAGAAATCATTGTTGTATATATATATATATACAACAATGATTATGTGTGTGTGTGTATATATATATATATATATATATATATATATA